GCAGCAAGCAAGCCTCATGCTCGCTTCAGTGCCTGGCTGCCGGCCGCCATCTTGGTTGTCAGTTAATTCGCATATACTCACTGATTAGCCAATGAAAAGGGTAGCAGTCGTACGCTAATTACCATGTTTCTCTTTTATTAGTGTAGATACTGAGGCGTTCACAGTGAGAAATTTTATTTGTCATGTTAAGGAGTTTTATCTTCGTTCTCTGAGCATTGGGAAACCATTGAGAAAGTTTTAGCAGGTGGAGGAGGAGTCTCATGATCAGATTATTTCACTCGGGCTATATTCTTCTGTTTAGCAATTTAATATTTACCTTTTCAATTGAAAATTGAATTCTTTGAGTTAATATGGAAATGTTGGTATACAAAAATCATACAAAAATTATTTTGAACATGTTTTTAATATAATATTGTAAACTTCTTGTCCTGGTAAAAATTATAACCTCTAATTCATTTTAGATTCTTCCTGGAATAATAAGTGTTCATCCTGTAGTAAGAAATCTGGCTGTTTTATGTTTGGGATGCTGTGGACTACAGAATCAGAATTTTGCAAGTAAACACTTTGTATTGCTCTTACAGGTAGGATTTATCTTGTGACAAAATCTTGATTGTTTTTTCTAATATACTCAGAATCTGTGATGATAATGCTAGTACTCTAAATTTAATATTATTGAAAATGATGATTATGATGACTTTTAGAGACTTAATTTTTATCTTTTGATTTTTCTTATTCAAACATCTCTGTAGAAAAGGGGTGAAATGTCAGTTATTTAAGGATTTTTAAAATTAATCATACAGTAAATACTTATAGAGTGCAAGTTATATGCCCAACATTATTCTAGGCTTAGAAAAAAATAAGATAGGATGGTACATTTTAGAAGAGAAAATACAATGAAAAATAAACAATATATAGTACAGTAGGCATCAGTGATTCTGCTAGTAATTCTAAAGGAAGTTCTTGTTTACTGTTGTGAAATATAATGGCTTTTAGGTGACCAGGGAATAAAATCGTTCATTTTTAAAGAGGTTTTGCTAAGAAATTAGAACAGAAAATTCTTGACTTCAGTTTCCTGTATTTTTAGGAGTTTTGTCTTGAAGTGTTAGATTGACCCTGGTCATTACTTTTTTTTTTTTTGACAATTAAAAAAATTTATTGGGGTGACATTGATTAATGAAATTATGTAGGTTTCAGGTGTGCAATTCTATGATATATCATCTGTATATTGCATTGTGTGTCCGCCACCCAAAGTCAGATCTTCTTTTGTCACCATTTATTTGACCCCATTTACCCATTACTAACCTTCCCCCTTTTCTTCTGGTAACCTCCATACTGTTATCTGTGTTTATGAATTTTTGTTTGTTTTTCTTGTTCATTTGTTGTTTTCAGTTTTATATCCCACATATGAGTGAAATCATATGGTTCTTTTTCTGAGTTATTTCACTTAAGCATGATATTCTCAAGATCCATTCATGTTGTTGCAAATGGCAGTGTTTCATCTCTTCTTATGGCTAAGTAGAATTCTATTGTATATATGTACCACATTTTCTTTATCCAGTTGTCTATTGAAGGACACTTTGGTTGTTTCCATGTCTTGGCCCCTGTGAATAGTGCTACAGTGAACAAATGGGTACATGTACTTTGGAAATAAATGTTTTCAAATTTTTTGGATAGATACCCAGAAGAGGGGCTGCATTTTTTTTTTTTTTGAAATGGAAGAAAAAATCTTAGTAGAACATTTGATAGTGAAGGGTTCATTTATGTCTAACTTACTAAATAGTTCTTTTTGGCTCTAAAACTGAGGTAAAACATTCTTTAAAATGTCCTATATACCATTGTGAATGCTGCGAAAAATTATAAGTTGTGGTAGTAAAGTTGGAACCCTGACAGAGGAGATTGACAGTTATGCAAAATTTCTAGTACGGCAGCAAAGGAAATACCATTGAACTCTTTAAAAAATATTTATGTTCACTTGACCTTTATAGGGGAAATGTGAATTTTGATCCTTTTAACTTTTGTTGACATAATATCAGTAATAATAATAATGTGGTTTGGTCATTTCAGACAGAAAAAATGCAATATGAATTTAATGCTCAAGAGTGTCCTGGAGTATTTTGTAATGATTTAATACTAAGTCACCCCTATGAGAGCGAGAGAGAGAGGAGTGCGCTGTGGGAACCTTGGTACTGTTTGCTCCTATGTAATTTTCTGTAGTGAAAAAGACTTGTCAAAATCAAGTTGATGTGGAAGATAAATGAATATTTCTTATCAAGACTATTCCACAATTTTAACTTCTTTCAAATCAAACCAGTCAAGAGCAGCCTACTCATGGAATTAAAGTTTTAAAAAATTAAGTTTATTTTTTTTAAATTTAAACAACGTTGATTTCTAAACTTACTTTTTTCAGGCATTTGCTATTAATATTTGCTTGAATAAAATAACTTTTTAAAATTAAAAACGTTGTTTGTGAATGCTGTATTCAGATGAAATAAAATGAGTTACATGTGAAATTTTGTACATTCTAAAAGTAATCAATATAGTCAAGTAGTTTATCACTCACCAAAACTTAAGTCATTAAAGATTATAGTAAATCTCTTTATAATAGAAATATTCAGCTCTGTTTGTCATGGTTGTGAGATTTGCTATGTAGGAATTCAGTTTTCTTATATCAGGATAGATCACACAAATTGCTGGGCTTTCCAGATCACCTCCAGTCCAGTTCACTGAAAATGGAATTCACTGTTAATGAAATCTGAAATTAGCTAAGAAGAGAAAATCAGAGTTGAACATTTTTTTAAAAAATAAAAGGAACAAATAATATAATTCAGCCTGACACTAGTTTCAGACTTTTTTGACTGAAGATGAACTTCTTCTGAAGAAAATATAACTGTTATGGTACAAATAAATAAAAAAAATAACCAAGAAATGGAAATTTCAATTGGTTTTGAAAAATGTTCTATGTAGGCTTGACACCGTTCTGAAATTAGACTGAGAAAATAAGATACATGTTAATTTTACGCAGCATAACCAAAGTTTACTGAATTCCCTTTTTTTTGTTGGGGGCTATTTCAATTTAGGTTTTGCAAATTGATGATGTGACAATAAAAATGAGTGCTTTAAAGGCAATCTTTGACCAACTGATGACATTTGGGATTGAACCATTTACAACTAAGAAAGTGAAAGCCGTTCAAAGTGAAGGTGTAGAAATAAACACTGATGAAGAGCAAGAATCAAAAGAAGCTGAAGAAGTGACTGCCATAGCCAAGAATGTTCTGAAACTTCTCTCTGATTTCCTAGATAGCGAGGTAGGAAATCATCACAGCCCTGTTATTCCGAATTGTCATTTTCAGCATGTATGTTTATGTTCCTTATAATGGTTAGGCTACAGTTTAAACTTGGCTGACATTTAAAAATTTTGCCTTTTGACTATCATAATTAAATTCTACTTTCACTTCCAGTATACCTAGCTCCTTGCTATCAAATTCCATGTGCCGAGAATTGCAGTGTAACAAAAATGAAATGACTATTGGAAGGGGTTGCTATCATATTTTCATCTTTTTCCCTGTCTTTGTGATTTATGACTTAAAATATTTTTCCCCCAAGAGTCTTAAGAAATATTGATTTTTTTTTACTAAGGTAAAATTGACATAACATGAACTAACAATTTTAACTTGAACAATTTATTGGCATTTAGTACATTCACAATGTAGTACAAGCACCACCTCTAATTTTTTAAAAAAAGTTTTCATCCCAAAAGGAAAGTTAACCCATTAAGCAGTTAGCCTATTTCCCTTCCCACCAGCCCCTGACAACCATGAATCTGCATTTTGTCTCTACAGATGTAACTATTCTAGATATTTCATATAAATGGAATTATATACAGTATGTGACTTTGTGTCTTTCACTTAGCTTGTCTTTGAGGATCATCTACGTTGTAGCTTGCATCAGTACTTCATTTCTTCTTATAGCAGAACAATATTCCATTTTACATACATGCCACCAAGAGTTTAGCTGTTCACTACCTTTTGATTATTGTGATTTGATAGTTCTGCCTTTAACAAATTCATAATAATATGAATGATTTTGGATAGTTCAGATAAAAATATTGTAGGACAGGCTACATTTTAAAGCTTAAAAGGAAATACAAATAAAACATTTCTTTTAATGAAAATCATTTTTATTAGGTGTCTGAACTCAGGACAGGAGCTGCAGAAGGACTAGCCAAGCTGATGTTTTCTGGCCTGCTGGTCAGCAGCAGGATTTTGTCTCGTCTTATCTTGCTATGGTACAATCCTGTGACAGAAGAGGATGTTCGACTTCGACATTGTCTAGGCGTGTTCTTTCCCATGTTTGCTTATGCAAGCAGGTATTTATTCAGCCCTATCACTGAGTCAGAATCTGATTTGAAGTTAAATTCACATTCCTCAGGATCATATCTATAGTATTGTTTTGTTTATTTTTCTTCAGTGTTAAGTGGTGAAATAAGAACTTACTAGAGTTTATCTACCTGAATTATTTGGTTCTTTCCAGATGAAAATGCACTGTGTCTTGATGGGAAGAATTTTATACATAATACTAGAGGCCTGGTGCATGGATTCATTCATGGGGGGGGGTGGCCCTCAGCCTGGCCTGCCCCCTCTCGCAATCCGGGACCCCTCGGGGGAAGTCCGACTGCTGGTTTAGGCCCCCCATTCCCACAGGCCTAAATAGCAGTCGGACATCCCCCGAGGGATGTAGCTGTGCACCAAGTGGCAGGCAGCCAGGGAGGAGCCTGAGCCGGGATCAGGCGCTGTGCCGCTTGCACTCATCCTGGCCTGCTGTGCCTGCTGTCACTGCCCAGTAGTGCTGCTGCGGGGTCAGGAGAGGCTCCCAACGCCATGACAGCTATGCTCCCCAGCTGTGAGCCTGGCTTCTGGCTGAGCAGCGCTCCCCCTGTGGGAGCACACTGACTACCAGGGGGCAGCTCCTGCGTTGAGCATCTGCCCCCTGGCGGTCAGTGCGCATCATAGCGACTGGTCGACCAATTGTTCCGTTGGAATGGTCACTTAGGCTTTTATATAGATACTAGAGGCCCGGTACACGAATTTGTGCATGGGTGGGGTCCTTCAGCCTGGCTGGCTATCGAGGCCATCTCGCCCAGACCCCATAGAGCCCAATTGGGGCTGGCTGGGGTGAGGGACTGTGGGAAGTTAGACGGCCATGGGAGGTTGTCTATGGGAGTGCACTGACCACCAGGGGGCAGCTCCTGCATTGGGCACCTGCCCCCTGGTGGTCAGTGCGCATCATAGTGTTTGGTCTACCAGTCGTAATGATCACTTAGGCTTTTATATATATAGATATTTTTAAGAATCATGTGCTTTTTCTTTGAGAGTATACTTTCAAATTGTTTTTCAATAGGACTAATCAGGAATGTTTTGAAGAAGCCTTTTTCCCAACTCTGCAAACACTGGCCAATGCCCCTGCGTCTTCTCCTTTAGCTGAAATAGATATCACGAATGTTACTGAGTTACTGGTAGATTTGACAAGACCAAGTGGATTGCATCCTAAGGCCAAGAATTCCCCAGATTATCAGGTGGGTGTGAATATGTCAGCCTATGGATGGTAGGGCTGATTAGGATGCAGGTCACTGTTTTTTGTTTTTGTAAAATAATCCCTCTGATTCCTTGAAGATACATTTTGATCTTGAGATTTCTGGGAAGAAATATGTTAAATTTGGTTTTAGACATTTTGCATTTGGGATGTTGGCAGATAATTAGTTGGAAATGTTTGTTAGATCTGTAGGACTGTAGTATAATCATGCCATTTTCAGTTTACAAAGATTTTTCTCTTGCTTTTCCAGGCCTTAACAGTTCATGACAATTTGGCTATAAAAATTTGCAATGAGATCTTAACATGTCCATGTTCACCAGAAATTCGGGTCTATACAAAAGCCTTGAGTTCTTTAGAACTCAGTACCAATCTTGCTAAAGATCTTTTGGTTCTGTTGAATGAGATTCTGGAGGTAAAGTAGTTTCTAAGTACTCTTATGTATATATTCTTATCAAAGTAAAATTATACATGTTAGCATACTGTGACTTTGCTCATTTGAAGTAAATATTTCCTTCATAGTTTAATAGAATTTTAGAATGTCTTAAAACAACTTGATATCAGCATACAGCTTTTTTGCAAGATTAGAAAATGCTGTATTTAAAAAATGTTAATGTTTTCTATTATAGCAAGTAAAAGACAGGATATGTCTGAGAGCTTTGGAGAAAATCAAGATGCAGTTAGAAAAAGGAAATAAAAACTGTGGTGAGCAAGCTGTGGCAGCACAGGATGCCAGCACAACCACGACTGTGTGTGAAAACGAAGAGGGTAACAGCAAACTAACCTGAATAAGATTCTGTCCTCTCATCTTTACTGAGACACATTTTTTTATCTTAAAACATGTGGTTGGGTTTCAGAAATGAAAAGGATATTTTTCTAATTAATCCCCTTGGGAAAGCATATAACTGCTAAGTGTTTATTCTACTTTTACAATTTTTTGGTGTACATTTCTCACCATATGACTGGGAGTTTTGCTTACTTACTTGCCACTATTCACATTTTTTGGAACAGTGATTTATGATAAATTTTCAATAGCTGCTAATGGGACTGGTTGTGATTTCTCTTTTATGAAAATTTGACTTAGACCATTTAAACTATTTCATGAGGCTATTTTTTATTTACATTGTTGCATATTTCCTGTAATAGAAAAGAATAAAGAAGTATGTGTAACTCCTCTCAAGGATGTAAAAGCAACCCGAGCTTCAAAATCCACTCAGCGAAAGACTGTCAGAGGTAGTGCACGGATTGACTAATTTTATAATACAACTTTCCAAGTTTGTTTTCCAATGAACTACTTACTTTGCAAGTTTCCTTATCTTTGTTTCCATAGGGAAAAATGTCTTAGGTATTCTTTGCTTTTTAATTCTTTCAGCTGATAATTAGGTTTTGCTGTGTCATCTAAAAGATGGTCAGTGTTGCTCCAAGTGCTTTGGTATGAAATATGATGCAAAAGATCATATTGTAAAGGATTATTTGGATTAAGTTGATTTTTATCAGTAAATGATCAGTGATGATTTTATATTATTAGTTATGTTCTAGTCTTTATATGGTTAAGCAATTTTGTCCCTTTTATTTGCCTAGTATTTTTCTGGGTTTCTGTTTTCCTTTTTTTCCCATTTTATTTTTCCCCAACATAATTTATTTCCCAAGGGATATCCAATAGGGGACTTGTTGGAATAATGTAAATGTTGACTATTAGGGGATCACTTGGGAAAAAATCTGTAATTCAAGACTTTTTTATTGTTTTATTATGTTCTTATTACAAAAGCAATGCATGCTTATTACAGAAAATCAGGAAATACATCCAAGCATACCAATATAAAGAACACTAATAATACCACCCATGAGCCAACAATTATTTTAATCCTTGAAAATGTTTTTGAGGTCTTTTTCTTATGCATTTGATATTTTTGTAAGTAAAATCTGTCCATAATATTTTGTAGCTAGTCAGTTAATTAAGTGCTAATTGCTGGGTGTCCCAAATTAGTCCCATATTGTTGGATATTTTCTTGGGGATAGTTACATTAGAAGTTTAAAAGCAAATATGTAAGGTTTATTGGTGAAAAACCAACAAATCTCACATGAAAAAGTAGGGTTTACAAATTTCAACCAAATAATCATATGAAAAATATAGTTTTAATAAGATTGCTTTTAGTTAGATACTATCCATTAGACTACCACCTTTTTTTTTTGACAGCTCAAACTTTAAAAAATGTATTGTTATAAATGGGGAGCATCCCAGGCTAACCTTTGTCTTCTTAACCTTGTAAATTTCTAGCAAGTAGAATTTTTGCAACTTCCAAAAACAACAAAGATTAATTTTTATACTGAAATATGTTTTAGAACATATTTGGATTGGCCATGTATATGTTTGAATATTTTCCAAGAAGCCATTACTTTATTGATTCAAGTTCTCTTTCTTTAGGACCTGTTATGGGCTTAACCTTCCTACCTTTCTGCTTTAATTTTCATTAGCTTCTCCATACACTGTACTATAAGCATAATAGAGGTTCTTTCTTTACATAGCATGTTTTTCACATGCGTCTTTCCTCATTATTAACTGAAACTTGCCTATTTATAACTTAATTTCCCCTTGCCTATTATCAGAGCTTACAAAATAAATTAATAAATTTTTAATCTTAAGTTCCTTTTCTCTGTTGATAATTGGTATCAAGGAGGAAATGTGTTAAAGAGGGAAAATAAAGGACTTAGGTAGCCCAGAAATAGATTAAAAGCAATTAAGCAATTGATCATTTTGATAACAAACTGTCTTTAAGGACGGAGAAAAGTGACAGCTGCAGCCAGGATTAGCAGGAGACGACAGACTTCTGAGGCTGACTCGGCAAGGTATGTTATGCATGTGTAGAGTACGTAGAGGTCTACTTTTTTTTTTTGGTCTAGAAGTAGAAAAAAATTGTACGGTGCTTCTACTGGGACAGAAAAACTCAACAGATAACAAGATAATCAGTGAAAACCATACATGGCTATGTCTTGGATTCCACTATCAAGAGCATTTGACTTCCTATGGCTTATTTGCTTTTTCTATTAGTTGGCATGGCCTTTACTACTAGGTAGTCATCTTTAATATGTTCGTTCAATTTATATTTCCATGTATTCTTCTAATTACATGGTCATGTGTATATGACTCCTCTCATCTTGAATTAGCAACTCTTGAGATTTAGGTTTGGGTTCTCTACATTTATAGTTACAGAATAATTCTGCCTATAAGTTGGGTATATTAGTATAGGGCTTATATTTGGTTTCTGCCAATTAGCCACTGTTGGAAGCCAACAGTTGTAGCTCTCTTGCATTCATTTATTCATTGGTAAAACTGTATACTTTCAGTATATACTTTTAGATTAAGTTTTGACTAAATTTAAAAATCTTTTGGGGAAACATGCTGTTTACAGTGTTTTAGGATTTTATTGCCTAAATCAAAAGAACTTAATTTTTTTCTTCCATTTCTTAAATTCTCAAAAAAAAACACACTTTTGGGCAGTTGTTATGGTCCCTGTTTAACAACAATCTTCACTACAAAAGTTTTTTTTCTTTTCCTTATGTATAACACCAGGTTCCACGTAGATATAAAAAGAAATTAGCTACGTTTCCCATACTTTCAATTTGCTGGATAGCCAGTCAAAGTGTTTTGGTTTTGGTTGAGATTTTAGTTTTAAGCTTACTGGAATCAGGATATCAATTACACACTGTCAGAAACAAAAAACGTTTTATTTACAAATAAACTGTGGTTTTAAAGCTTGTATTTAAATTGGTGTATTTTCAAAATCTGTTTAGTGATCATGAAGTTCCAGAGCCAGAATCAGAAATGAAGATGAGATTACCAAGACGAGCCAAAACAGCAGCACTAGCAAAAAGTAAACTGAACTTGGAGCAACTTCTCAATGAAGATATAAATTAGGCGAAGAGATGATGGAGGTGGAGTCCTTTTACAAATGTCTTTTACAATTATTTTAGTTCTTTGTTTAATAAACTTAACCCTTGTGTCAACATTAGAAAAATTTTGCCTGATGTCTTATAGGACTTTCTGCCATGTGATTCCATGTGACTTTGGCCTGTATGAAAGCATCAGGACACGTCTGTCAATGCGCTCCGCAAGCCATCTGCGTCAGTCACAGGGATTCCATCAGAATCTAAAGTGGGCCCAGGAACCTGGTTTTTAAACTGGCTTTCCAGATGATGCCTATGAACTCTCACATTTAAAATCATAGCATTGTGGGCAACTTTTAAGTGTAACTAGCTAATAGTTTGCATTTGAGAAACTTATGGCAGATCAAACACAGATGAACACATTTCCAATCTCAGAACACATTTAAAAAACAACACCCCAAGGGCAAGTGAAGTACACAAACTTGCTAGAAATGAGCTCACTTTCAGGGAGGGGGACTAGTATAATGAACCAGAGTCCTCATCGTCCAAGTTCAACAGTTCTCATTTTGATTTTGTTTTGCATTTCTTATACTAAAAACATTTTTGATATGCTGTCTGAATGGGTAATTTCTTTTTCTAAAATGATGCTATTCCCTGGGCTGGGGAGATGTTCACATGTACATATTAATCATACACTTGCTTTCTGTTTTTTTTTGGCATAATACTATTGTGGATAAAAAATACTAGTGGGAAAATAATGTGACAGGAAGTCCTCTACATACTAATTTATGGGCGCTATTTTTTCATTATCAACTTATTTTCTGAAATTGGCACTTGCCTAACTTATGAAATGTACTGTATGAAATCAGTCCCCTTTCCTCAGGCAACACCCAACAAAACACCTTTTCTTATCCATCTGTTAATTGCCTTTTCTCTTTATTATTCAGAATAGAAATGCCCTAACTTTGGATCTGTTTTAATAATTGTGCTTTATTTATCAGAGGCCATTTATTTAAAGTGATGTTCTAAGATGGAGCTAAAGGTTGTTGTGCTTTTTAGAACCAAATTGCTATATTACATACATATATATGCGCTTTATAAAACTCAAAAATATAAAAGGAGCCTAAAAGTTACAAAGCATGCTTATTAAGCAAAAAGAAAAGGCAGATATGGTAGTGATATAAACAATGAAAAATAGGTGAGTTCCATTCTGTTGGCTCTTTTTCTGTGCTTCAAATTCTTTATGTAAGTCTTCTTTTGTTAAATCCCCATTTAAAAAATTTTTGTTTGGGGGCGTGTGGAGTAGGGAGAAATAAGGACTTACAATGTCCACAAATTAAATTCCATTTACCTCATAGCCAGGATATCTAAAGAGACTACCATACTTACATGGACCACCAAATCAAAGCTTTCTTTATCTGGCTGGGAAAAAAACAAATTAAGCACCAAACCTTTAGTATTCTTACTGTTCAAGTTTTAGACACAATCACATAAGCCATTGCTGAAGCTATGCTTTTGCACTTTTAGAGTTAAAGGTAAGGAATATCCTGATTAAAAAAAAAAAAATCCCTTTCCACTTTAAAATAAATGGCTAAAATACCATAAAATCAGTAGATGTAAATCCATTTACCATTTTTCTTTCAAAACTGGTAACTTACAGAAACCAAATAGTATTCTTGTCTGTAAGAGGCACACATTTGCTGAAGAGTAAATGTGTAATTGTGCTATTGTTTTCACAGACTTGAAAGGTTTAAAAATACAGAGAAAGAAAACTGATCAGCTCAAATTCTCCTATGAATGGAAACATGCTACTTGATAAACTGTGATCAATTTTTCTCTATATATATAACTTTGAAAATGATATACTTCTAAGAGATACCTTTGCCTTTCACCAATTCGAGGTAGTTGGTATCCACCAGCTTTATAACTGTTCATGGGTCAGGTCATCATCACGAATCTTTACACTTCCAAATCACGCAGTACGTCATATATTAAAACTTTGTGCACAGAAATAAAATTGGGGACAACTATGTATTTAAACTTAGGGCATACAAATTTCACAAAATACCATTAAAGAGAAACATCAAAATCCATCTGTACTGCAAAATTCCACAATGGTCTGATGTAAAACATGTAAAAAACATACAAAGAATATAATCAAAGTGATTAATGCTAATGATATAAAGACAAATCACAGGACTAGAAATATTTCAAGATCAATTGGTAAATGCTTATTGTTCAGCAGAAAGAATATTGACGTACAAAATAAGGATAGTGCAAGAAGAACTGCAATCTATTTCTCTTCACTTGTGAGATTTTGGTTTTGAACTGTACAGCTTGCTAGAGATGCTGTCAAATTCAGATTCCATTCAGTGGGATGATTAAGGCACATCTTAATGGGGCTCAAAGGGCTACTTGCTGTATTCCCATCAGACAAATTCAGTTTCTCATCATTTTTCATTTGTAGCATGCTGAAAAAAAAAAGAAGTGTAAAGCATTTCAGTTTTACTTCAGTTTCAAAGAAATTATCAACCTTGTAAAAGAAAATTTAGTTTTATTATTGGGACCTCTAAACATTAGAGTGGATAGAGCATGTATTATCCTGAAAGTATTTTTTTGTTTATAAATAAATCCTGCCTCCTTACTGAACTGAATACACAATAAGCCAGGTACTTGAGAAGTCAGTCACTCAGATACCACTGGATAAAGATCACTGCATTTACAGATTTCGTCAGTATATTTCAGAACTGAACTTGGCAGGATTCGTCCCTTTTAACTTGTCCTTCAGCCTACTGTGAATCAGAGCCACTTCGAGACAAGAAGGAATTAACCTTTGTTGAATGCCTACTAGGCACATTCACATGTATTATTAAATTTCATAACAAGCAAGGTTAGTATATTTATTGTCATAATAAATGATAAAAGTCAGTCTTGGAGACTTATGTACAAATATGCCTGAGGTTATAGTCACTGGGGTGGAAATGGACTACAGTCCCTGCTCTTGCCATTATGCCTGCCTACTAGCTCTCTGATGAAAATCTTTAGACTCACAGAAACTTGAGTGTCCACTCGACATGCAATACACATGTAATCCTGAGCCTTAATGAGAGTCAGTTCACATCTTCAGATGTGAACATTGTTTATAAACTAACAGCTCGCTATACATTAGTTGATCTTTCCTAAGCTTTATGTAACCACACAGGTCTATGATCCTATTAGTAAAGACGAAAATGAACTGTGTAGTATTAAGTGACTTGGAGTTGGTAAATGGCAGCAGCATCCAGACTTCAGTAGCATTTCCTGATGTCATTTAAAAATAGTAAATCAGTGTTGGTGAAAGTCAGAGGTGGGGTGAGAGCCTGGTGGAGGGGGAGGAAAGGGGAGAAAATGGGGGACATCTGTAATCTCAACAATAAAAAGAAAAACATAGTAAATCACTTAAGCCAAAACATAGAGATGTGAATAATAGGATTCTATTTAAAGTCAATCATGGCCTGATATGTGACAAATCAGAGATCCAAAACAACATTTTCATTCATATCAGAAATTTTAACTGATTTTTGATAATATTTACATTGGTTACTATTAGACTGGTGTGTCCGCATGGACCTCAAATTCTTTTATTTTTCAAGTTGGCAAAGCTCAGATAAAGCAGTAATGTTTTCCCTTCCTCCAAGGACTCTAGTCTTCATATTTTTATTATTTGTGTTTACAAAACAAAAAAATCTGATGTACACTTCTTTGAGAAACTCTAAGGCAGGCCATGAAAATACAATTATATTAATTGTGGTAGATAAGTACATCAAGTATCCAATGAATCATGGTCATAAAAACCTTGTTTTCCGTTAAGTTATTTGACTGACAAAGGTGTATTCATTACAGAAGAATACTTTAATAACCACAGGATTCTTTGCAATACTGTAAAGACAGTTTTTTAAAGAAAACTTCTAGAGAGTGTAGTCTAAATTTGGGCACACAAACTCCAGGGAGGTACAAAACTACATATGCATAGGAAGAAAAAAAATGTTAGTACTAATACAGATTGACATGTATAATTAACAAATATACACCTAAACCTAGAATTCTATCAAAATCTCAGCAATGTTTACAGTAGCATTCTTGAAAGTAAAGATTTAGGGGAAAGAATGTAAAGACCTGGATTCTAATTCTGACACTAATAATAATCAGCCTTATTCACCTTGGACAAATAACTTTAGTCCCTTTCAGTTTAATTTTCCTCATCTGTAAGAAAAAAAAATGACAACTTCCCTGCTTACCTTCTATATTCCTGATGATCTAATGAGAGCCCATTAACATGCTCAAAACCACACAGAGCTATAGAGAAATGCAAAGGGTTAGTTAACACTGCATATTTTGGTGAAAGGAGGAAAAAGCTGGAAGAGAGGCTCTTACTGTAAACTAGATGGTAGGTGAAAACAAGGGCAAGGGGTGCAGAAATTCTTATCTCAACATCTATTTTTAATGTTTCAGGGCTTTAATCCACCCTAAATGACAGCCTCTATACCATTAGAATGGAAGCTTATAGAATACTAGAGGCCCGGTGCACAAAAATTTGTGCATTTGGGGGGGGGGGGGGAGGAAGGGTCCCTCAGCCCGGCCTATGCCCTCTTGCAGTGTGGGACCCCTCGGAGGATGTCCACCTGCTGGCTTAGGCCCGCTCCCTGGGGGATCGGGCCCAAGCTGGCAGTCAGACATCACTCTGGAAGCCCGGCAGCCCTCGAGGGATGTCCACTTGCCAGCGGGGAGCAGGCCTAAGCTGCAGTTGGACATCCTTAGTGCTGCTGA